TAACAACAGATCTGTTTAGTTCCTCGTTATGTAGGCAAGTAAATAAAACCTTTAAATGCTCAGCAATTTCCCTGAAGAAGCTGGACACCGTCATTTTAGCAAACAGAAGGAAATAGTGCAGTATGGGACTATTTCCAGCAGGAGATCGATCCATTAGCAGGAAGGTGTGCGGGTCTGAGCTGGTGAAGCCAATCTTTTCATGGGATTTGGTTACAATAATGTAATACAATAACATACAGTATCATTACTCTATGGATAATATAGTGCAGAATGTATTTAGCTTCATATTCAGTTTGTTCTTTCAAAATTCATCTATAATAGAATTTAAATGGGCCATATTACTGAAACTGAAAGTGGAAAAACATGCTCTCACTATGTTCCAGGCCAGACCTAAACTGCTCAGCATTTTGATGTTTTTCCAAATGGTTCTTCAGTTCTAAATGACATCCTCATTTACTAGAAGGCATGGCATTTTTACTAGAAACCACTTTGAAGCTCAGCAAAATGTCACCTACTGTGTTTACCGCGGGAGCAGCTGAGCCACCACTCCTGCTCGTCCTCATCTGAGAAACACTTGAACACGACAGCAGAACGATAAGTTGTTAACAGCAAACAAGAAAAACCTAATCTTGTCAAGATTATCCACACTACTATCACCATCACCATGTTGAAGCTCTAGTGTAAAAAACAAAATCACAGCAGCTATTCCTCTCTGCATGTAGAGTTCTTCAAGCTCTGATATGTCACAGTGTTTTAGCAGAGAAACAGCAGCTGGACTAGAGCACATAAGCACTGTCACATGTCATGAACTTCCAGATTACATCTGGAAAATGTGCAGATTATGAAATAGCAGGTGGAAAAGTAACCATGATGCATTAAGAACAAACACAGAGCCCTTCAGTAGCGGTGTCCTGGCCATGTGTTGTTATTTTGGTGCCAATGCAACCGCCTCCACGTACTGTACAGTAAACAAACCACCTCAGGAAATGTGAGGCGCCTCACCTGATGATGCACAGAACCTGCAAAGGTACTGTTCAAAAATTAACCACAATAACTGTTGTACAGCTACCGTAACTAAGAGTCCAGCTAAGTGGAGACATGCTGTATCTGACTGCTGAGGATAAACAGACTGGAATTAAATGAGTCAACCAGTTTAAACGCAACAGACAGAAGGTGTTTGAGGCAAGTCAGCTAGTTCCTGAAGCTCTTTGTCAGTCTGTCTGAAGCACTTGAGATCAACAAATCAGTCACACAGTATAATGATCGATACAGTCTGCAGCAGAGGAAACAAGGGGAGACAGCTCCACAGCCTGCCAAGGAGATAGGACACACTGAGCTAACCGGCCAAGATGAGTACTGAGACAAGACAAAAAAAAAGTAATTAGAGAAACATGCTACTGTTCCGTCTGGGTTCAAGCCCCAGCCAACCCGGGGCCTTTCTGTGTGGAGTCTGCATGTTCTCCCTGTGCCTGCATGGGTTCTCTCCAGGTGCTCCAGCTTCCTCCCACAGTCCAAAGCCACGCAGCTTAAGTTGACTGGTGACTCTAAATTGCCCGTAAGAATGAATGTGAGTGTGTGTGGTTGTTTGTCTGTATGTCAGTCCTGTGACAGACTGGCGACCTGTCCAGGGTGGACCCCGTCTCTCACCCGGTGTCAGCTGGGATTGGCTCCAGCCTCTGCGACCCTATTCAGGAATAAGCGGTACAGATGGATGGATGGATGCTACTGTTTGCTTATAATCATTGTCTCATTAACCATTTAGTGTTTAATTTAAATTATGTCCAGATGCATATACTGTGTCTGGGTCTTGAGCCTGGACTATGTTCACTCCTGAAAAAGACACGCACACACAAAAAAGCTGAAATGCAGACTAAAACCAATTTAAAGTATGTCTTCCTCCACTGCCTCTACCTGACAGTGGTAGTTATTCCACTGAAACTTTCAGGTAGATATTAAACAATTAGTTGATTAATTCATTTGCTGATTGGTCAGTTATCAAAATTTATTCAGAGTGAAAATGTCAAACATTCCATGATTTCAGCTTCTCCTCATCTTTAATCACGGAAAACTGGATCACTGGTCAGGTCACGACATCAGAAGGTGTCACTCCGAGCTCTGGGGTTTGAGTTCATAAACCAAGCAACACAAGGATTTATCAAGAATAAACTGCTGATTAATCCATAGTGAAAATGATCATTAGTTGATATGTAAGCTCCGCTTTACCAAACTGTGAAACAGTGCCTAAACATCAACGCTCAGGTCAGAATAGTCCAATGATGTGCTATATAATAGTAAATGGAGTGTATCTTTCTTCACTGAGAACTTTTAATATTTTGAGGACATGTTCATGATACTTACATACTTTTACTTAAGGAGCTGAAGGCTTCCTCCACCAGTGTTAGCATTATTGGCTTGTTGTGGCATCAAAGGTTTGAGTTTTGAAACACACAGAAACAAAGTGAGAGAGTAAAGTGTATCCTCAGAAGACCAATTGGAATCTGTTGACCTCTCTGCTGGTACCACACACACACACACACACACACACACACACACACAGACACTTCCTTGGGAAAATACCTGCAGCCGAAATGTGTTTGATTATCAAAATGGAAGAGTGTACACCACCACCATCCCCTCACACTGCAACACACACACAACATAACCCTGACCCCATTCCACTGTGTATGAGGAGATACAGCCACTTACACACTCTCTCCTGCTCTTCATCGCTATCACACACACACACACGCACACACACTGGGTGGTAGTAGCCTGTGGGTGTGTGAGCAGCTGTGAATAATTGTGTTTATAGATGGCATACGTACGACCTGTGGATAGAGAGAGAGAGAGAGAGAGAGAGAGAGTTGGTCTTCTCACCCAAACAAAAGAAGACAAGGATGACATTTAAACTGAAGCTCTCTCTCCCTTTCTCCCTTTCTCTTCTCCCTCTCTCTACACTTTCTTTTTTTGGCAGTTTCAACTAATTCACTTCAGTTAGCTTAATTGGCATAAGTGGTAACGAGGCGTTAACAGCTAAAGCAGAACAATGAGCAGTGGTACAAGTAAAAAAGGGAGTGGGGTGTTTAGATGTGCGTCTAATGAATCATTTGGCTCCAGAAAGCAAGTAAACGAAGTACTTTATTTATACCAGAGGGAAACAATAACAGTCAGCAGCGACTGCATCATGAGCTAATCTCAAAATTATCAGGGTAAGGCAGTGTGTTAAATTCCTCCTAAACGGGCCTGTACTATCATACAATCAGTTTAAGTAGCTACACAACAACACAAAAACATGCTTTGAAAAAATAAATGTGAAACATTGTCAGACAAATTAAACAATGGGATCACCTTTTCTGAAAAGATCTCTCAATTCAGGCACTAATGGTTATGCTAACACTAATGTTTAGTGATAGCAGGACTGTTTATGTGGATGTTTTGTGCATAAATTGATTTGTTTTTGGATATTAGCCTTACATGAGGCTTCATGAATATGCAGTGGAGATGCAGAACAGTGAGTGAGTGCTACATTTATTCAGTAGTCCATATCCTGTGCTGTACAACTGGCCAGTTACTGGAGTAGCACCAGCAGGGCATACCTGTACACTAGGTGCCTGCACCCAAAAACCACAATGTTATATTGTCAAAATGCATTGTTGCCATAATTATCCAGTCCCTTTTCATGATGCTGTGTGTTTGATCAATAGTACGGATTACATCCTGTACTGACAGTTTATCACATATCTCCGGTGTCTGGTATATTCTAAGAAAGAACAGAGTTTTCATACATGCTGATGTTACAAATATTAAAACCACAATGAGGCACCGAGCAAACAGCATCACAATGTTAGTGTGTTATGCTAACATTGAGCTGCCAAAATAAATAAATAAATACATAAATTAAATTAAATAAACAATAAGCAATGCAAGGATGTGTGTTGCATATTCAGTCACCTCTAAACAGTGACCTTGCGGGTTTATTTCTACATTGTGACAATGTCTATATAAATTTTAAGTTGTTATGACTTTGTGAAAACATTTTCTGCTGCAACGCTGAGTGTGAATCCTCGGTTGTTTGTAAATGGGAAACTTATCTGTTTGGCTCCAACTACACTTATTTATTTCATACTAAACTGGCTTAAAACACAAAGTGAAACAAAAACATGGTCATGTTTGTCATCTGTACTTATCATCATTAGCTTTGTTGACACCTTTTAGCAACTTAAAGTCAGGGAAATTCTGCTACTCAGTTTTAGTGCTTCCACATTAATATGCAGAAACATCAGTGTGCTGAGTCACGTTAACAATATGCTGAGTAGACACAAGCTGTGTGCACTGTGTCTAGACAACTAGGTGGTGATGGACTGTCATGTGCAGTTCACACTGTCTCTCAGCAGCTAACAAGCTAAGACTGCTACTATTCCTTTAACCTGTTAGCTTTATAAATGTCTTCCAAACTGCTTGCCTGTAAATAACAAACAGGGACAGACATGTAATATAGCAACATGCTAACATGATGAAAGCCTGACAACATGCTAACTGCTGAAGACAGAGGGGGTGTACTGTGTTAGCGTAGCTCCTGCTAGCCTCCCTCTGTGGATCTATAAGTGAAGATGATGGAAGGTTGGGCTCACAGCGATTTACATAATTGGCATGTTAATTTGTTAAGCCATGGGAGTTGATTATGTTGCATATTGATTGTGCTGGGCTGCTGTGAGGTCACGCCTCTTTAACAAAGGTATACACAGAGCAGGGAATTGTGGGAATCTGATTAAAAATACAAATGCTGACACTCCTCAATTTGACACAAGGGGCAAGGTGTGTGTGTGTGTGTGTGTAGTTGTGTAATGAAAGCTGTGTTAAGGTGTGTGAAAGTCAGCAGGTTTGACTTGGTTTTCAGTGTGCACACGTTTGTCCATATGCAGCGTGTGTGCCTGTTCCCCTCGAGGTTGATGGATGGATGGAGGAGGTGAAAAGAGGAGTAGAGGGAGGGGAAACTCCACCTGGTCTTACCGTTCTCCGGGTGCTCCATCTCGCCGATGCTGCCGTCGGGTGTGGTCCTCTCATAGTGGTCCTCGGGCAGTGCAAGCGGCCCAATCCGTGGCCCCGAAGAAGACTTGGAGCTGGGTGTCTCCGATTCCTCCAGGCCGCTGTCGTAGTAGCTGTGCTGGGACGCATCCTGCAGGTCCTGAGCCTGGTTGGCGGTGGAGAAGGTCACTCGGCGATGGGGGAGCTGGGATTTGAAGACAAAGAGAACAGGGCAGGTTTAGTTTGAAGGTTCATAACCAAACTTCAATTTAACATATGAGATGTTTTTATTAGAAATCTGTTTCAGTTTGATCTGATGCAGGTGAATCAGTGTCAGTAATCAAAGAATGAAACTGTAAAAAAAAAAAAAGACCTTTAAAGAAGCCATTTAGACAATGACTTTGATTACTGTACGCTCTGTTCTCAAAGTGACTGACACTTTGATTCTGCAGCTCAAACCACAAAGCTTTCAGCTCATCACCTCAGATCTCATCACTGCGTTCAGGTCTCCTCATCTCATTCTACATCATCTGGTTAGCTCACCTCTTCTCACTGTGTTCACCACTGACGTCTAACTCCCTGCTGCTTCATAGCTACAAATCTTGGGAGTATATTTCACTGGCAATATTAAAATAATGACCCTCTGCTGCTTGCTGTCAGTGAGCCCTACTGTCTCACAGTAGCTCCCCCACCCATCAACCAGTTCCAGGTCTAAAGGATCCCTGTGGAGTTTTTGGTTTCTAGTAGCATCACCAAACTGTTGTTCTGTGAGTAGATCTCCATTTTGTTGTCATGAATGCACACATACACATGTACACTGTCCTGCCAATAGATTATTCCACTGAACAACAGGTGGCGCTAACACAACGAGCTATGCAGCAATGTGCCAGCAAAGACCAGGAAGAGGAAGACAGAAGTTTAGTAAAAATGGAGGTGGAACCTATTCTGGGTTCAAAATACCTTCAAATCTCTACTTAGCAAATGGTTTATGAGTCAGTATCTGTGATCACTGCCCCCCTTTACGTTTTCAGTTTCAGCAATAAAACATTTAGTTTCATCAGGAGCAATGTAATGGTTTCAGAAATATGTAACATGCTTTCATGATGATCTCATCTCACATTCAGACCAGACTTGCTCTTTCGTATGTGTCTATTGTTAGGTTCCTGTGAAATCTGCAGCCTGTGTCTGGTTCTTCTCACCGACTGGTTTCTGTCATGAAGCACACTGCTTTAATAAAAGCAGCAGGCTGAACACACACTTTACCGCTCCATTTACTGTGTGGTTCTGGGGGCTGGAAGGTAGCTGTCTGACTCGTGTGTTGGTTGGCTTTGTAATTGAAATACAATTAGCCTTCGTATAGCACTGCAGGGACACCAGACACCACTCTCTCGCTCTCACACACACATTGTGCAAATGCACCAAGTGCTGCCAAACAAACTGTGTCCTAATTCAAAGGCACACAATGCACGGTCAGACATTTCAATCACACACACACTTGACCGACTGGTCCGAGCTGATAAAGAGCAGAATCCCTGGCTCGGCAGATACTCTGTCACCATGGCAACTGGGCGCTGTCAAGACCCTGAACCGGTAAAACCAGCAGATCACAGCTAACACACAGGCACACTCGGACTTCAAGCTCCTTTTTAATCTTATATTGTTACTTTGTAAGCAGCTTTTTTGCAGCAGCTGAAACATCTGCTGTAGCTGAGAAATATGACTTTACAGTGCAAGGATTCAAACCAGCAACCACCTGGTTGGCAGTCTGCATCTCAGGCTGGCTCCCTCTCTGCTGTTTCAAATTAAATATTCTTTCTATTGGTGCTGCAAGATGATGAATCACCTTTCCTGCCAGGATTGCACATCCCCAGTCAGTTTCTGTGCTGTTTGCATTCCAAAGAGTCTGAAATGTTTGGCTAAATCGTTTCAAACTATCTTTAATTGTGTTGCCTGAAGGTATAAACAGCCAGAATTAATGTCAGAATGATGGAAAATGTACAAAATTCAAACCACACAGGAGCTGTCCTTTAAACTGTGTGGACACAACATGCTGTCGAGCCATCATAAGCCCAGATCCCTGGTGCTTCAGGTGACAGGCACCTCTCCAGGTAAACACATTCAAATTTGCTGTAATAACTGGGCTCTCAGCAGACCCTCCTGTCTTTATTCTCAGTAGAATTCCTGACAGTAAAGGCGCTCAGAGAGGTCACAGTTTGTATTTAGATAACATCAGAGGCATTATGGAATGGGAGAGTTTCACTCCCACAGTCAGATTAGCATTTTCCGTCCCATTAGCATACTGTGTGTTTGCACAATAAGAACTTGTCAATGTGTATAGCTGATTCTGAGATGTTGGACTGTGAAGCATCTTAGCAGCAGATACACACAGAATGCTAGTCAGCTTTTTAAAATGACTGCACCTCTTAGGTTGCATTACCACACAATGATAAGGTGGCACTTTAAAATCTAAGAGGCGACTCAGTCCCAGTTAAGCAATGATTGTCCTGAAATCTCACAGCGTTCACAGGAGCTGATGACTAACCACCATTTACAGCATCAGTCCAATCATTTGCTCCTCCTCCACCACAGTTTGCTTCGGATATGATTTGTTCAGCTCAAATATGCAAAACCAACAGTTCATTTTAAAGGAGACAGCAGTGGCCCTCTGTGCTGTACAGACAGGTTTTTCCCTCACAGCATGAATCACCAATAACGTAGAACACGTTCACAGAGAACAAACATTTCCTTTACCAAACATTCAGATTTGTCCCTCTCTGAGACCCCGTGGCAGTCTAACCATCAGACGTGTGCTCAGGAAAGCAGCAGAGCAAACTGTGGCAGTTATTAATAACTGCTTCCAGCTTCCTCTGCTCTGTTTGCTGCATGAGCATTAGGAAATAAATCGCATCTATATACACATGAAGAGAGAAATGAAGCGGATCAAATCATCTCAATCCCTCTCCTGCCTGTCTGTCACCTCCAGCATGCCCAAACACTTACACATACGTGCACATACACCACAAAATCCTTGATTTTTGTTGCCTTTTTTGTTCTTCTGTCTATGTGTGTGTTTATGTGAGTGTGTGTGTGTGTGTGTGTTTGCCAGAAATAGAAGTGCCATCTCAGCAGGTTGTACCATGGGAAAGTGGAGCAGATCAGAGGGGAGGAACAGAAAGACCAAAGAACATCTATTACAACTTTCACTTCAGTGTCGGCCCAGCTGCCCGCCGCCATCTTGTCCCTATGCCTGTGCAGAATGTCCTCTTGTTCTAGATCGCTGCCACGTGGCTGTGTCTGCCTGACCAGGTGTTCTGATGTTCCTCACTGCCCTATTTTCTCCCAACCCTGAGCCTTAGAAAGCCAGAAGGCCTCCACAAACGGACAAACTTATCCACTACAGTTGGAGGTGATGTTCTGGGGGATTAAAACCTGCAGGTGCTCAGCAGTCATGGGAGGAGGATCGTTTATTCACAAGAGTGAGCACAACATTTGTTTGTAAAGCCATGCAGCCAAAAGGCTTCGCTTCACTAAGAAAAACAAATGATGAGGTTAGGCTTTGGTTACAAAGTCTTCAGTGGTCCAGGGCCTGGGATTCAAACTGAAACAGACCCGTAGAAAAGTATACTGTACCTGAATCCAAAGTTAAAATGGACCTGAAGAGACTCAGAGGTGCTCTGACATAGTCACATCTGTCACATCTGTGTGTAGAGCAGCAGTGGTCACAACAAGCAGCAACTGATCTGCTTCTCTATTGTTCAGGTTTGGTCAACTTCAGGTTAATTATAGTTTGTCGTTATGATTAAAAAAAGCCACCAGTGAATGTTGGCAGAAGACAGAATCCAAACAGTGGCCACACCCTTTGTAACCTGCACCCAGTCATCCACCACAATCCTACCCATAAACCAGTCCAAGCCCAAAGTCACAGCAAGGCTCTAATGATGAAACAAGTTGCAGTTTTGACACTAGTTCACATTTTGAAATCATTCACAGTAACTTGTGTTGCTTCAAAACTTATAAAAATGTAAGTGCCTGTGACTCTTTGCTCCTGCAGTGTTTAACTAAAGTAAAAATACCCAGCGCTGTTTCTCTTCTTGTTTGAATGTTGCTGTTAATATTTTGTGTTTGACCTTACACACATATATAATGGCCATGAGTGTGTTCACTAAACACACTGTAATGGTTACGAAGGTCAGTTATTACAAATTCAAGGAAAAATAACTCATCGTGGATTCTGTCTACAGCAAACTGTTAATGCTGCACTTTGGGTCTAATTTCTACACTGAAAAATATTCAGTCAACTGCAGGCAAAATGCACATATGCACTTTTATGTAAAACAAGGAGGCATGATGAACCTTCTTTCTTGAATCCATAATAACTGACCTTGTTTACCATCACTGGGTGAGACAATGAATATGCTGCTGAAGCACAATGCAGAAAAAGAAGAGAAGCAAAAGGAGCAAAAATGATCAGTGTGGTTTGTGCAAAGAAGCCATGAGGATAAAGAAGAAAGAGGAGACTACATTAAATTTACCTTCATACATATTTAGCTTTCAGAACCTATTCTTCACTTTGTAAGGTTGAAGGCAGTGTAATGGGAGGAGGAGAAAGGTGGAGGAGGAAGACAGTGGAGGAAGAAAAGGAGCAACAGGAGGACCAAGAGTGAGGAAGAAGGAACAAAGGGGGGTAAAGGAGTGCTGAAAACAACAAATGAGATTACAATAAAAAGGGAGGTGCTGGAGAAAAGGGATAGAAGAAGAGGAGCAATGCAATGAAGGAGGAGCAGGAAGAAGACGGGAAGATGAGGAGCACTGAATAACAAAAGCAGTTTAAGAGGAGAAATTAGGAAGAAGACATGGAGGATAAGGAGGCCAACATAAAAAGGAGGTGGAACAAAGGAGCAGCAGTGAAAGGAGGAGGAGTAAGAGATGGGAGAAGAGTCAAGAAAAGAGGAGAAGGATGGTGAGGAGGAGAAATCAAATAGGATGTAGGAGAAGGGGAAAGAAAAGGTGCAGCAGGGGATAACAATAAAAAAGGGAGGAAAAGTGAGAGGAGAATAGAAAGATAATGTGGAGCAGGAGCAGGAGGGTGAGGAGAGAGGACAGGAGCAAGAAGAGGCCAGCTGTGGGTTCATGCAGATAAGACGGCCCGGCCTCCTCCTCGTTCTCCTGCAGGAGGTGGCGGAGGAGGAGGAGGCGTTCACTGGG